TTGATAAGTTAAAAGCATTTTTCTATGAAATTTAGATTTCTATGAATCAATTGTAGTATAACAAATTCAAGAGAAAAATCATGTTTTTGGCAATGTCAATTGAAGTGTAACTATAATATTTTGGAAGGTGTTTTAAATGATTAAATACTTAAAACTAAATCAAATCAGTTGTAAAATTTATCAAACTTTGTATTTCAATGTAAACTGAATTCAAAGACCTTAAGATATATTTTCTTGAATTTTTTATTTGTCTAACTATTTTTCACCTATTTTATTCCTTGAATAATCACAAAATCAAGGAAAAATAGTAAATGGACATGAAATTTTCATAAAGTTTTGTGTAACTGTTTCACATTATCTCTAAACTGGGAAAATTATTAAATGCTATTTTTGATCTAAAACCCGGTTTTTTAATTTAATTGTTTTTTACACCAAGAAATTCTAATCAAATAGAAAATAACAATTAAAAATCACAAAACTTTTTATTTGTGTTCCAATTGCAGTAAAAAATTTTCAGAATATGTTTCATAAATTTTAGATATGTATAGTTAATTTTCCCATATTTAACCACTTGAATCTTTAAAAATTCATGGAAAAATTGTAAATAGTTAACCAAAATTATCATTATTTTTATACAAATGTGATAAAATTCATATAAACGAAAAAATATCAAAAAGTGGGTTTAAAATAGTGGAGTCCGATTTTTGGATTTATGGATGTTTAATATTAGGAAATCGGAAATAATTAGCAAATAGTTTAAATAAATCCTCAAACTTTTTCTACCATAGATATAAATTGTATATAATCTGGGAAAAATGTCAAAAAAAAAAAGTTTTCATATTGTATAGTCTGGTTTTTATGATTTATGTATATTAAATGTAAGAAACATAGCACAAATAGTAAAAGATTAGATAATTCTTCAAAAATTTTGTACAATTGTTATTTAATGTATACATACTGAGAAAAATATCGAAATTAGTTTGTATGTAGTTTAACCTGATTTAATGATTTTTGTGTATTTATTCTAACAAAAATGAAATTAATAAACAATTTATTAAATTTTCCAAACATTTTATTTATTGTTCAACTGTAATATATGATGTTTTGATAATTTCTTGTGATTGTTAGAATAGTTTAACTATTTCTCCTTGATGTATTTTCACAAATATGAATTAATTCAATAAAAATTAATAAAAAGTAAGCAAAATTCATTAAGCTTTATATTTATGATTAATATATATTTTAAGATATTCTGGTAAATTTTATAATTTTTTGACAAGTGTAGCTATTTATTATCATTTTAACCCCTTTAAACATTCATTAAATTGGGAAAAATAAGAAATATTCATGGAAAAATCTATAAATTTTCTACATGGAGTCTTAATGAAGTATAGATGGCGCAAAAAGTAGCAAATATGGTTTCTCACATTCGTAATTATATTTTACTATTTATTTCACTTCATCAGAAATAAAATCTAAATAAACAGAAAACAATCACGTAAATGCATGCAACTTCAAAAAAATATCTTTAATGAGTGTATGGGTTGTCTCAAAATTTTCTCTACATTTAATCACCATAAAAAAGTATTTTATGTGAATTATTGCTCCATTTTTCTTGCAATAATTATATAAATTCGAGAAATGTAATTTATTTCTTGAAAATTTCTGGAACCTCTCGTTTTGTTGGTGGAATTCTGGGAAAAATTAGATTTGGACAGAAAATGAGTTTTAGTTTTTTTTTTTTTTTTTTTTTTTTTTTTTTTTTTTTTTTGTGAATAAATCATTTGTGAACATATTTGAAGATTTTTCACAACATACTTTGATCATCTAGCATCTAAGCTTGAAGATCATCACACACATTTTGATTTTAAGGCCATTCATGAGTTTAAAATGTTCAAAAGTCTTTTTTGAAAGAAAAATTAGGGTGCATGTTGTGATTCTCCTCCAAAACTTGTAGAAAAGTGCATTATCTTGATTTTGACTTAGGTTTAGGTCATGGGACTTCATCGTTAGCAAAATCATGTTGTTTTGGGGTGAAATCCTACCAGCATCAACATCAAAACCATATAGGTGTGTGTATGTGTGTGTGTGTTTTTTTATGTGTTCATGATCTTTAATTAGAATGGTGTAGGTGAACAAGAAAATGCAAGAAAACCATGAAATTTTTGAAGGAAAAGAGAATGAAAATCATGTTTATCTAGATTAACACCTTTAGATAATAAATATTTTGTGTAAAATAATAGTTCTTGGCTGTCAAAATTCGTAAGTTAGAGGGTTAGAGAAGAGAAAATGGAGTGGTGGTGATGAATAGTATGAGAGGAGATTAAGTGTGGGAGAAGAGAAATATAATTGAATTTTTTTGTGAAACGGTTATTTTAGCAGAGGGGAGCCGAAAAATAACGAGGAAAGAGGAGATTTATTAAAAAAAATTTGAATTAATTCCTTAATTTTTTAAAACTTTCTTTAAAACTTTCTTCAAAACTTTCTTCAAATTTATATAAAATGTGTATTTTATATAAATTTTGTTCATAATTCTTGGATTATTAGCTTATAAAAGTAAGGTTAATGTTCATGAATTAAATTAATTTTCTTCATTATATTTCCACATTTTAAATATTTTAATTTGATACTATAGAGTTCAAAAAATTTTCTATGGGATTTTAATGTAAAACTTCATAAATTTAAGTTTTTAGGATTTTTTAAGGTTTTGAGATTTAATAAATCTTTGCATATCAAAATAAATTGAATTTTTGAGATTTTAAATTATTTATGGTATTATAACTCTTTTCCAGTTAAAAAAATGGTGGAGATTTGATTTTGTCGGTTTATTGACATTTCTATGTAGTGATTCCAATATTCAAGTGAAACTGAACAATCGAACATACTAGTCTTAGTTTTCAACTTTGACTTAAGTTCTTATGACTGACCTAATTTCTACTGCTAGGTCAAGTGCATGATGTGTCTACATGATTCATGCAAAGATATTCGAGTAAAAAAAATAACCCGAATATGGATGGTTACTACAGTTAAAGTAGTTGTAGAATTCACATATCAATGTGAAATCTAAGCGTATTATTACTCGTTTCTAATTGTTTGCAAGTTTCTAGTATAGTATAACTTCGCTTCTAGCTACCAAGTTTGGCATGTGTCGTGCCTATACGTGTAACTGAGTTTATTCAAATATTGAACTAACTTGAATTTTAACGGTTGTCACATAGGTGGAGGGGGAGGGTTCAAACCAACAAAACAAAATGAATAGTTTTACATGTGGATTTTTTTAAAGTTGACATTTTAAAAAAAAATGTAAGTGATGGAAAATCACAAAAAAAAAAAAAAAAAAAAAAAAAAAAAAAACCCTTTTGATCAATCCTAAGAAAATTAATAACATAATCGTCCCATGGATGATGCCAAATTGTTTTGGTCAAAAAAATTTTAAGTAACTTTGTAACAAAATTAATAAGTGTGGTTTGATGTTTTTGTTAACGATTTCAAAAAAAATAAACTATAAATCGATGTAGATCTTGAAATATGCCAAAGATCTTGATAGTGCCACATCTTAGGAATATGACAGTAATGTTAAGAGTTATTATAAAGAAAATAAACTAAATAATGTTTAAAATGTTGATTTAAGTCGAGATATTAATACGTGTATACTTGGAAATTGGGAAAAAAATAGTGTTAAAGTTGTGAATTCATTGAATATAGCATTAAGTCTTTAGATATCCCAAGAGATCAAGATACTTAAGAGTATCTTGAAAATGTAACTATACAAACAAACGGTTGCAAGTAATTAAATTTGTAGGAAAACGTGTGTAAGCATTGAAGTAAATTAAACAGTCGTTAACAAGTAAAAATGAGTGTAGGAAAACCCTTAATCATTTATGATCTCTGGCATAAAACATCGAGAGATGACAATGTCACACTGCCTTAGAACTTATATTAATAAAAAAAAATATATTACTATTGCAAGTTAATCGAGTGTAAAGTGATTTTGTTCTTAATAGTTTCTAGAGAGTAATTAAGTATTAGTAATAGAGTGAACGTTTGTGTTTAATGACCAACTTGCCTTTTTATACAAAGATAAGATAACCACTATCATATATTCCTAGAATCTTGCTTTATTCTAGTTTGGTCATATTTTTGGTTGGACTCAACGTCTTTTCCTATTAACATGTGCCCATTGACTTGGTTCATGTCTTTTTAAATAAGTCTTTGACCCTGCTTAGAATAATACCATAACACTCGGTTTTGAAAGTGTTTCGTTACTCGACGTTGCAGCCTAATTATCATTTGTCATAGGTTTTAAGGCCTCAGGAAAGCAAGGATTTTGCCCAGTTTGGAGGTGGGTGTCATGGCATAACGGATCCAAGTAGTTGTTTGTGTCTCTGAAAGCCAAGGGTATGATTGTAAATGGATATCTCGGTCTTTTATGGATTTTAGGTTTAATCTGGGAAGGTTTTAAGGATCCGGAGATTTATGGAGAGTAGGGCTTCTTGCCAGCTTTTCGTGGATATAAGTTTTGGTGGAAACAGACCTCAGATGAGGAAGTTATGGTACTTTGAAGTTATTGACAATTTTGGTCCCTAATAGAGATAAGTAGCAAGGCAGTCCCATGCATACATGGAATTCATTTGCATGTTTGGTTGGGTACGCCCAACGTACATGGCTAAGTAGTCGCGAATGGGTTATGAGTACGTCGAGCGTACGAAGAGGGTTAATTTTTAGGGTTAACCTCTATATAAAGAACATTATGCCCTAAAAGCCCAGCCACCCTCTCACCCTTTGACAGCTTTCATAAAACCTTAGTCCCTTATTTGTGTGTTTGAGGTTAGAATATCGTTTTGGAGTACATCTTGGTGTTTAAAGGAAGGTGGCCATTGTTGAAGCATCA